CTTTTGAAATTTTTAGAAACCGCTTTTGAGACTTTTTTATTCTGAGAAAAAACGATTTGGGAAAAATTAAATTGGTATTTCCATATTAACGCTTTCGATGCCCAAGCTTTAATGACAACTACACGCTCTGGCCCATCGGTATACGAACATTTAGAAGTTTGGACGTTCTTTAACGTCATGGGCCATACACAAGAAGTTAATACAAAAAGAGAAAAGAATATAGACCTCTATAGGATGTCAAGTACTGATGTCAAAGAAGTATATTACCGGGCCGCTGGCTGACGGTGTACAGTTCATCAAATTTCTAGAGGTGTTCGACGCCCAGACAGAGAACGCGCTACGTGTGACTAAGATAGCTATTGTACAGTCTGCTAAACAAGTTATTTTAAATAGTTTTTAATATTTTTAGGTAATTAAATTTTAAAAGTGTGGAATAGTTTAGGGATTAAATTGGTCTGATTGGACTTTCTTAGAACGTTTTTAAAAGCAGCTAAAGATAGTATGTAGAATTGAAAATAATTATTATGCCATAAAAGGTGTTTTGGAATTCCTTCAACCTTTTGAAATTGAGTCAGAAAATATAAATTTTATAGGATAGCGGAAAATACCTATAATTTTTTTGTAGGCCTTTGTAAATCGTGGAAATAGTTTATATTTTATTTCTACCTTATTAAGGAAAATGGTACCTATTATTAATAACGGTTGTTTCTGAAACATTACTAAAATTTTCGAAATTTTGTTTTTCTACAAAATAATAAACTATACTATTTAGAAAAAAATTTATTTCTCTTATAATTTTATAAAAAATAACAGGGGAATATTTACATTTCTTGATCTATTAAACAAAACGATAAATTATCTCAACGAATGACACCATGTTCTAGTACGGAAGCTAGCTTTACATTTTTGTTGGTGGTTTCATGGGTTTCATATCAATTTTTTGTAATTGTAGTTTACACGTACATATACCTCTTAACACTTGTTTGCTTTAGTAAAAAAGTGTGTTGTTGTGATTTACGTCGAAATAAGTCAAAAACAACTTGAAACCCCATATAAAATCAAAAAGGAGAAACGGAAAAAAATTGAGCCTGTAAATGAACACAACTCAGAAACAGAAATAGCTATCTAATAATAAAAAAATAAAATTTGATTCTTGTGCAGCTTCATCTATATCATTAACTGTTTTTGGTTTTTTAATGGTTTTTCTTGGTGATGAAAATTCCGATATCTCACGGTTATCGATTCTTTTTTTCTCTCCAGAAATGCGGACGACAGTGTTTTTAGATACTCCTGTGGCTGCAGCAACACGATCATTTACATTTTTAAATGGTATTGAAGGTGAATTAAAGTTTCCTTCTCTTCTCATAAACTCTATAACATTGGCTATTATTTCGCGAGATTGACTGTTAATCACGCGGCCTCTTAATTTGCTATTAAACTCCATACTTCTATTAAACTGTAATGAGCAAAAAACACAAACGAAAATAAAAGAAATGTTTTAGCGAAATTTACATCTGACATTTACGTCTGAATGAAATAGTGAAATACTTGATGCGCAGAGTGTACTTTCATTGCGTAAATCCGTCGGGATGCCTGTCAGTAGTGCTTTCTCTGTCTAGCCGTCGAAAGCCTCTAGAAATTTGATGAACTGTACCTATAAATTCATTTACCGATCAAGGTAGTCAAGCACTTGATGAATGGTTGACCCGAGACTATAAGTTCTCGGAAGGTTATCTAGGAAGAGGAATAAATGAGGAATTAATAAATCGAAAGAAGTAGGGTGTCCAAATGGTGGTACAATTAGTCAATGAAGCTGCAGCAAAATCTTGTGGGGAAGGTTGGACCATTCAAGGCGGGGAGTCAAAAACAAGCAGGAATAGTTTAAAAGGAAGTTTGAAAGGAAGAAAAAAAGACGTAAACTCTCGTCGTAGTTCTATACAGGCTGTCCCATTGGTGCAAAACTGCTTGATATTTCAATTTGTATTATAGACAAATGTTTTGAATAAAAGTTATGAATATTTAAAAAAAATATAATTTAAAAACGCTTTTGCTTGGAAAGTAAAAACATGTGTAACACACTATATCCAACAATATTTTTATATTATGTGTTTTTCAAATCCATATAACTTTTATTAAAGACTTGTTTGCGTGTCTATGCCACAAATTAAACTATCGAGCAATTAGGTACATTATGTAAGTAGAAACTGTTAAAGCCTTGCTATGTTAAATTCAAAAACATAATATCAAAACCAAATTTGTAATACACTAATTTAAGAACGTTTTCACATGCCTACAGGGTTATAAAGACAATTCACTGCATAGCGGCTTGTCTATATTCATCGAAGCATACATCTTCAAATGACGTTACAAAACGTCATGGGCATGGGGGAAACAACTATCATGACGTTAATGAACATCATGGGCAACGAAAGTGTTAATGTATTGAATAAGATAAATATGTAACATATGTATGTTAATGAAGATTTTTAAGACGATTTCATAACTATTTTAACAATCGATTTTAAAAAGTAGAAATTAACTTGATCGTTTCTGATTTGTCTTGTACCGTCTAGTGTATCACAAGGATCGGTCATAAACCCATTAGATTATATAATGTATGTAATTTATATTAATAATAAACAAAATAAAATAAGGTCAATAATAACAAGATACTACTAATATAATAACCTGTTGAATATAGTTAGACTATACATTAAATAATTCACTTAATGTATCTATTTGTTTTTATTTTGAATAATAAGCTCCGTGTTCCGTCACTAAAAATATATGAGATGGTTACGCATAGTTTATTGACCTGGTTACGTAAATATTCTGAGGTTGATGTTGGTCAAAAAACGATCGAAAAATAAAACTTTATTGTTACGGTAATTAAGTCTAGTTTTTGTTGCCTATTTGATAGGAAAGATACTATCCACTTTCATTCCTAACAATCGAATTTAAATACTTATAATACATCATAGTTTATTAAATCGTACTGTCTTTTGATAAGTATAAAAATAAAACCACAGGAATGTGTCCTTCTTACAACGTTAATAATATTTAACTACAGTAAATTGAAAAAACAGTCGTTAAGGTTAATTTATGTTTCCAATTATTCTTTATAAAAAGTACTGTATTACCTATTTCATCTCAGTGGCAGCTCGCTAGTTGACGCGCTGCTTCACCAAAATTTCAGAGGAAATTAATAAAAAATCAACTGAATAGCTAAATATTTCTTTTTCCGTAACAAAATGCCCTGCATTTTTGTATCTATACAAATTACAAAACAGAAACCTCCAAAACTGTACCTAATTTCGGGGTATCTGGACCACCGCATGAAACAAACGAGGCGCTTGATAAAAAAATCCGACCGTCCGGGTTGGCTTGTTTTTGGAAATATAATACAATAGAAAGTAGAAAGATTTTCTAATCCGAGCCAACGGAGCGCTTGAAGCACTATGCATAAAACCGCCAAACACGCGTCTCTTCTGTCGACGCGTTTATGATGGTTGCCATGGTAATGGCACGTTTCGATCTAGCAGATTAATGCACTTGACGCGTTGATTCAGTTTGCTTCTTCCCCTCGGGACTATTTTTATACAATGGTTGGACTAGTTGGTCAGTTGCGACTATTGCGAGTTTTTTCCGATTTTTCTAACAATGTTTCCAGTAGTGGTAATTTTAAGGAATTTTTTATTACTACATTTCATTCAGTTCTAGAGAAATTTAAGAATAATATAAAAAAAATTTCGCTTGTATTTGCCGAAAATTCTAAAATAATTCAAAATAAATTAATAAACTGTATTTCTCAATATATTGACAAATATATTGAAATGGAATTAAATGACTGCATTTTTTTTCCATTCAAGTAGACGACAACAGATATTGCTCAAATATTTCAATGTAGCATAATAATTAGGTATGTTAATTCTCAAGGAAAGTCAATTGAAAGATTTTGAGGAATCCATGATGTAAGTTCTGATCGAACAGCTCAAGCATTGTTTACCCTAGTTCCAAGTTGTCTAGAAAAATACGACTACAAATTAAAACTTGCTGGACAATGTTATGACGGCGCTAGTGTTATGTCAGGGCAATTAAATGGTTTATAAGCGAAGATTAAGGAAGTAGCACCAGAAGCGGTGTTCGTTCATTGTTTGGTGCACCATCTGAATTTAGTCCTGTCTCAAAGCTGTAACAGCATTTCGAAATGCCGTATATTTTTTGCTAATGTGAATCGTCTGCCTACTTTTTTCTTCAATCAGCAAAAATAACTCACGCAGCCGATGTAATCCTCAATAAGCGAATACCCACTTCAGTAGTTACAAGATAGTCATTCCATTCTAAGATTTTGAGTCTTATTCATAATAATTTGAATTCTCTAAAACAAGTTTTTAATGACATTTTAAACGACCCAAATTCTGATCAGGCTTCAATAAGACAGAGCCAGTTCTACTTAAATATGTTTAATGACTTTGAATTTGTTCTTCTAGTTATAATTTTTAACGAAATTTGTTCCATCCCTAAGAACAGAACTGTCCACTGAGCACCGTGATGGGCGCATAAGACAAGTCTTGACAAGAGATCAAGTAGTTCAAACATATAAAATTCTGTATTATGAAATCCTGGATGAAATTAACACTCACTTTCAGGATACTGATAAGCTTCAGTTGGAAACATTAATAGACACTTCCAAATTTTCTGTATAGTCGGAGAGCTTTCCTACAGAAGCACTAAATAATTTAGTTCTAGTAAATTAAATGACTTACAAAGGGTAAAAATGAGTTACAGTTAATTTACAGTGATAAAAAAGTTATAACTATTGACATCGATAAATTGTTGGAAAAACAATTTGAGAATCGTGATATTTTCAAAGAAGCTTATAAGGTATATTGCTTAATCTTAACTATTTAATCCACTAGTGTTTCAGTCGAACGTAGATTTTCTTGTTTAAAACGAATTAAAACATATCTATGAAATACAATAACAGAAGATCGACTTACCAATTTAGCAAAAATTTCAATTGAAAAGACATTCTTAAATTAACTTGTATAAACTTATATACAAAAATAAAAAAGTCAAACCCACGAGCCGCCACTGTTCCATCTATAAATGCAGAAGTTTTTATTGGATTTTTTTTGAAATATATAGATATTTTTCTATATAGAAAGCGTGAATTTAAATTTGAATTTCAAACATTTAAATTTAAAAGTATAAGTATAAAACAATATTTTTTATTTTTCCTGAATGCTACTAAATATTTTAAAAGGGCTTTTTATAACGAATATTTTTTTTTTGTTAATTAACAATAATCAAGTTTTCTATTTGTAGACATACTGTGTACAAAGTAAACCAGTTTTCATTTTTAGTTCGTTTATTAAGGATAACGTAATTCTTGGACAGGTTTCGTTCTTATTAGGACTCATCAGCAAGAAATCTCGACTCCAGTCCCTAATGGAGGTTGAGAGAGTGTAGGAAATCACAGGGTAAAAATGGTAATGCCATATCTGCACCAAGTAAGCAAAATCAGGGTCTAGGGACTTGTTTTTCGATTTTATTTTTTTTATTTTATAAATGATTATTAATTTTGCCGCAGTTTTTAAATTTTCCATAATTAGGTAGGTATGTGATTTTTGTAAAAAATTATAAGTTCACTTTTATATGTAGGTACCTACCTAAAGTGAATTTTACGTTTATTTAAACAATTTTTTTTTTTAATTTTGTGATTTTGTTTTTTATTTTATAAATATGTTTTTGAAGTATTTTGATCCAGTTAATTTTTTTTTTAATTTTCCATAGTAATAGTTACGGCCTGAAAAAACGCCTTGCTTTTGAAAACATGTGTTTCATCGTTTATCCCATTTGGATAAATAGGCTGAGTATAGGGACAATATAGCCCAAGAGCCCACTGCAAATTTTTACCGTCATCTGATAACGAAATGAAATATACCCCAAAAGCATGGAAAACCATTGTACTTTACCAAATGGTACCTGTGCCAATCCCAATCCTGAGCAAAGTGGCTTGAAAAACTTATTTTATATTAAAAAAATCACATAAGGCATGACAGCGCTAATTTTGTTTGACCCTAAAGTTTTCCAGAAAATAACACTCAAATATATCTTGATATATATCGTAAAAGGGAAACATTTTCTTCCTCTTAACATCGCACAAAAACATCTATTTACGATTAGTAGGTAAAAATCATTAAAAATATGAATCAATGTTTGCTGATTTAAAAATTTATTTGTTTGTCTATTGTTGTGATTCATTTTTACAGGTTGCCATTGAAACGACAAAAAAACTACTATGATTATGGTTTAAAATAATTGTCTGACAAGAGTTTATAATTATTATTCACTATCTCTGCAAATAGTTTATACAATGCCATCCTTCTTCCTTTCATACATAAACATGGTTTAAAAGGTAGGTAAAAATATTAATAATTTAGGTTTAAAAGATAGGTTCACAATGAATTAGGATTGTAATTTTCAGGGAAACACAATTGTCGCTCTCATGTTTTTTGTGATTTTTTGAATATAAAATATTTTTTTTAACCACTTTGCTCAGGATAGGGATTAGCACAGGTGTAATTTGGTAAAGTACAATGTTGTTACATGCCTTTGGAGCATATTTCATTTCGTTATCAGATGACGGTCGAAATTTGCAGTGGGCTCTCATACTAATAGAGGCTGACCAGAGATAACGAGATGTAACTACTACACTATACTTACGCGGGTTTCGGATTAAAATTTTTTGAGTATTTCCAGGTAAGTACCCGAAAGTTTGACCTGTTCTTTGGGGAAATATCAACTGGTTAAATGAAATGAAAAATAATGTACAACTTTTTAATGAAATAAAAATGGAGAATCTTTTGTATAATTGAGAGCAGAATTAAACTTCTTCATTAATGGAGTCTAATGTGGCTATTATAAACCTAATAATAATTTTATATTACACTTCACACAGAAAATATGGTCTATATTTAATAAGATAAAATATTTTCTAACATAAAAATTTGTTCCATGTAGAGAATTTCAAATGAAAAATAAAAAAATTGAACTTGCCAACAAAAATGAAAATCATAAATCAAAATATCATAATTGTCATTATCATCACTGCCATCACCATTAATTGTTATTATGATTGGATTTCGTTTATTTTATTTTCACGAGTCCACCAATCTTCAATTAGTTTCTCGCACTTGGATATACAGTTCCCCACACTTCTGGAGTTGCAATTGAAAGTGCTTTTCGCCAAGTTTCCCGAACTGCTTCGTCACTATAACCATTAGGCCCAATATGGTTGTCATAATATTGTTTTGCTATTCCCCATATACATTCGATGGGATTAAACTGGCAATGATACGGTGGCAGACGTAAAACTTGATCAACGTAACTTTCAATAATCTGATCCATAACAAAGGTTTTTGTAATACTCCTCTTAATTTGGTTTCACTAATTCCTAGAGCATCGCATACGCGTTGTTGTACAGACATTACCGATTTTAAAGGACCGCCATTTTCTTTTTCATCCGTAAAATACTTATGTACACTACAGATTAGACTATCTACATCTAACACACGTCTAGGCATTTTTAAAATTTCTACTAAATTTACAATATACATACAATGTCAACACTTGCAAAGAATCAATTCAACTGCAATATTTGTAACAAATTTAGTACCTACCCTAATGTTATTTTAATTTAAATCTGACCATTAGGGCAATTTTACCCAATTTCTTGGGAAGAGGCTTATTGGAACTGGTTGTCAATGACTGATTTGCATAATTTTGTTAATCCGAAACCCGCGTAAGTATAGGGAACAGACTATAACAAATATCGTGCGCTCCTGAATAAGACATATTTTAAGGGACACAGACGGGTATAATATCCAGTGTTGTCATGTGCCTATTTCATTATTCTCGTTTTGTTTACAAAATTATTTACATATATTTGAAAAACTAAAATAATTCAACCTATTTTATTGCAACTGAACCCAAAAAATTTTGAATATTAGTTATATTAAATTTAATCAAATTAGATGTAATTTCACTAAATTAGATGTAATAATTTTCAATAAATTCCAAAACCTAGTGATGTTAGATTGGAAGTGGCAACAGGGCTTACACCGGCATGGAAACTTACGTTGTGTATTACAAGCGAACAGCGTCTTACACAGTTATTCATTGATAAAAATAAGTTGTTTCAGTGTAAAATTCTTCTCTTTCTCCCTTCTCTTACTTCTCAGCTTTCGTCGCCTCGCCCCGCGTCTAGAAATAGAATGTATCGATTGTCGAATTAATGTTGGCATCGTGAATTATTTTATCAATGACTGCTTATATGTCTGTTATCTTTGAGGCTGACATTAAATTCTTAACGGCTGACTATAGGTACTTTGGTATATTTTTAATAAAAACCTTTATAACAATATTATTATTTTAATAACCTATTTCATTATTCGAAATATCAATCAATTTTCTTTGGCCAAAAAAATAGTACAACCTGTTTTCAAAAGAAATACTATTTTTTTAGGACTATACTATAACAAAAAAATCATTAAGTGACTGACTACTAGCGGATCTACCCTATACTGTTCAGCTTCTAGAAAGTTAAACAGTTTTATGTTCTTATAAATTACATAAATTTACGAATTCCTAATATTTTAGAAGTCTAGATAGTCTCTAGTAGGAAATTAAAAAACTTTAAATCACTATATAATTCGTAAATCAACAAAAAAGTTTTCCCTGTCGATTTGAATAATTAATTAATGATAAACGATTGAAATTAATGATTAATTATATCTATCAAATTGTACGCTCAGACAAATAATAAGCATTCTACAAGATATAAAAGTCCGATATGTCATGTTATTTTTTTTTTTTGTTTGATTACCGGTGTGTAAACGGAATTCGAGGAGTAAGCATGTTATACAATCAGTTCCTTCACATCGTATTCGTACACATGCCTATCGGTTGTCAGTTAGTTGTACATTTTTACCTTCCATATTTGGTATACTAATAACAAAGCTTTGGCGCCGTCTCATTACGGATTTCAGAACACAGCAGTATTGCGTAACCAGTAGCAAAACTGGCACAGTTAAGTATAATTAGTCAGTCTTATTCAGAAAGTAATAAATAATAAAATTGAAGAAAGTTATCCAACTCCTCGAATTTTAAATATTAAGACAGTTGAACTCAAAATCAGTCCTACTTAAAAAATATGTTTATTACTGATAACTAAATGGTAACCGATTTCGGTTCTAGGAAGGACCATCATCAGACATAAAACAGGAGAGAAAACGGTTCTAATAATATGCAATGTGTTAGTTGAGATATTACAAACCTATACTGGAACAATTGACTAGTTTACTGAGTAATATGACAAACGTCTCAATAAAAACTAATTACTTTGAATTATTCATCGGTAGGACATGGAAAAAAGTCAATAAATGAAGTAGAAATGGTAAAAATATGATGTGTTCAGCACATGACTTTCATTTAAGTTATTAAAAATATTGAGAATCAAAAAGTATTTAAAATATAAATTAAAGATATAAACTATGCAAAACATTTTTGCATAGTTTATATATTGTATCTTTATGTCAGGTCGCGGGATTTTGTTCGAAATTTTTTGTTCGAATGTTTTTATTCGAATGAATTTTGTTCGAAAACATTTTGTTCGAAAAATTATTTCATTCGAAAGTTATTTAGTTCGAACACATTTTGTTCGAAAGTAATTTTCTTCGAATTTTTTTTTCTAATCGAAATTATTTTGTTCGAATGTCTAATTGTTTCAAAAAATTTAATGCGGACTTTTGATTGAAAATTTTTTTATAAAAAACATATCTAAAATATTTCATGACCTCAAATGGTTGAATCTAAATGTAGAATATATACGAGGATGGGATGAAAAGTTTCCGGCCTAACCTATAGTAGGCCCGATTTGCTTTCCTGTTCCAACGGGTCTGTGTAGCCTTGCTTGTCGTCAGTATACGGTCGAAGTTTAAAGTGAGTGCGTCAAGTAGTTTGTGTCCT